AAGAGGATCGAACGATCATCCAGCGACCCCTCGGTCGTGATCACAACGTACGAAGGACAACATTGTCACTACTCGGCCGGCTATCCCAGGATAGGCGGCTTCATAGCCTATAACATAACCACTAACAACCTTAATTTACACAATCCACCAAACGAACCCCAAGAAAATTCTCCACGGGTAACGACAAGATTGGAGCCGCCAAACGGCCCCCAAGAAAACTCTCCACGGATTATGACAACATTGCAGCCGCCAAACGGACCCCAAGAAAATTTTCCACGATCTCATGGAGTTGCCCGAGAAGGGTTACTCGGGGATATCGTGCCTCTCGGAATGCGAAAAGCTTAAGTTTTTTTTTGGTCGTTTTCTATCCTTTTTTGTTCCTAACATGAAACGAAATAATATGATCAGTAGTTGTTATTAGCAAACAGTTTCGATTTCTGTTTATGGAAAATTTGGAATCGTATTATGTATTGAGAATAGTATTAGTGCAATTTGGAAGATTAATTCAATAGTTTTTTAACCTTTTTCCTCAACATTACACAAAATATAATGTAAATTAATGAGTCATCATCTTTAACATGGTTTATATATGAGACCCATAAAAATGCATATGAGATTTATAGTTGTAGGAGTAAATTTTGAGCTTTAGATGATCCGATAAAATTGGAACGATACAGAGAAGAGAAGATTAGTATGGCCCCTGCGCAAAGATGACACGCATACATCGAGAAATGATCGTAAATTTTGAGCTTTAGATGATCTGGAAATCAAATATGTAGGTTTATGAAGTATTATTAAAATTGCTCTAGGATAAAGACTAAGTTAAAAAGTTGATGTTTGCCCCATATTTTTATAGAGAGTGGAGGAAGGCAGCTTTAGCTTTTGGGTATGGCTTTAATTTACTCTCCCTTTTTCGATAAAGATTGCTCCACATACAAATGTACTCATTCGTGTTAAACCCATTTTGTTCCTCACACGTTTGATTCGTGAGATTTCGTGTATGATTAAATAATACTCCCTCCTATTTTTCTAAATGTCATTCTAGTTTTATCAACTATTTACTAAATAAATGTCGTTTTGGATCTTTTGTACATATTTTTCCATTATTACCCTTATTTGTTTAATAAATACATTACGTCTTTTCATATTCACTCTTTACTTTATCTCAAAACATTCATCTCTATCTTCATTAAATAAGGTTATTATTGACAAAAAAATTTTTTTTAATTAATGTGCAACTTCTCAAAACGACATATATTTAAAATATGAAATAGTAATCACTTCCCATTTATAAATGCAAGCTTTTTAAACTTGCCAAGCGTAGACATGGCCACGGTTGGCTTGGCCATGAACCGACCTTGAGGGCCAGTTGCGGATCATGTTGTATTATTTTTTGACCTGTTGGGTCGGGCCAAGTCACGGGTCAGGACCTGATTTTCCGACGAGTCACGATTATAAGTTTTTTTTAATAGCCGGGTCGGATCGGGCCGATTCTTAGATATAGGCGGACCGATTACCCCGTGAACTTGCCCGGGCTTTGGCCACCTCTAGCCAAGCGCATACTATTTCTATGAAATTTCAGTGATTCGTAATTATATGAATTTTAGTTGTTTTCAATTTATAATTGTCAATTTTTTTGTAGTTGGATATATATATATATATTTCAAAATCTTAAAATTATAAAACACTTGACTAATTCAACTTATAATTTATAACTTAATTAAATTTGTTACTAATTTTAAATACATGATAAAAAAAAAACTATTTTTTTTATGAATATTCAATTTTTTAAAAGTAATGAAATTTTGAAAATAAGAAATCTATCTTATTTCCTAAAAAAAAAAATCTCAATGAACACGCGTATTACATAATTGTGCACAGGTGTTGATGATAGTAATAGTGGAAAATGCTAAGGTCTCGTTACGGAACAATTCCGTCGAAGTTTGTAACCGTTACATCATAATGTAACAGTCAGAGATAATTGAATTAATGGTTACAAACCCAACGGAATGGTTCCGTAACGAGAACATAGCATTTTCCAATAATAGTAATGCATCTGTTAAACAACATAAATTAAATTTTATTAAATAAATATACGTACTTTCATATTCAAATATCATATTAAAAAAATAATATAAACAAAAGTATGCTATATTACCGTATATGTATGAATTTTATATTTATAAAGTATGACAAATTTACTTTTCTAACTATCAATCTGTCTAATAATAATAACAATACTAATTATACATCGAGAGGAAAAAAGAAGTAAATAATTCTTCATGTCTAGCAACAATTTTATTGAGAAATATATAATATAAATGTAGGAACATGATAATAATTTAATTAAAACACTAGAAAAGAGGCCACCATTGGCTGTGGAGATCGACTCGGGTGGCATCTGTATTTGCCGCCGGTGATGCTGCCATCCTTTGCCGCCGCCGGTGATGCCGCCAAATCACTCCTGTTTCTTTTTGCAGCATAATATATATATTTTTTTAATTTCTTCCCAAAGAGAAGACCCTAAATTAATATATAGTAGAATTGTCATGAAGGCCGGATAGAAGTTAATAATGAAAATAAAGAATATCATGTCTTCTTCTAACTCTTCCATAAATTTAAGTCTCTATATCACAACCTCTTCTGTTTGTTTATATATATATATATATATAGAGAGAGACAGAGAGGGTTTAGTAAATTATTACTGAATTGAATTAGGTTAGAGGTGATTGAGTTTATATATATATAGGGTCTATGATGGAGATATTTATAGATGTTTAGAATCTTTAATTTAATTATTTTTCTCCTATTAATTCTAGGCAAGGAAACTTACTTATTTGTATTATTATTACTATTATTATTCAAAATTTTTGTCTTGTTGGATAAACTAGAAATATTCTATATTTTTTACGAGTAATCTTAGATTATTTTTTTATTATACTTTAGACATTATAAAAAAAAAATAGAGTTCTATTGAAGAATTTTTTTGTCACTGTATCTACCATTGTTGTCACTATATCTACTGTCAGTATATCTACAATTGTTGTCACTATATCTAGAATTATTGTCACTATATCTACAATTGTTGTAGATATAGTGACAACAACTGTAGATATAGTGACACTAGATATAGTGACAACATAGTGACAAAAAAATTCTTCACTAGAGCTCTATATTCTTGTAGTGAGAGATTTTGATAGTCGTAAATATAAGTACTTCATGTCGTTCCCCAAAAAAAGAAAAAAAATAATTAGGGATAAGAAAAAGAAAATGCAGAACGAGAATATTTATGGAGTTGATTGTATATTCGACTGAATAGTTGTTCTCTCGTTTCGATTTATCGTAAATATAAGTACTTCATGTGGTTTAAAAAAAAACAAAAAAAAATGTTTTGACCGAAAACGGTTAGGTGGTTGACCAACGACAGATACTTGTTTATCCAAAGGGCCCTTTTCGACTGGCCCATCTCTCAGACAACAGACTACAGACTGGCTTTCATAGATTATGGGCCCACTTTTTATCCGGGAACAACGCAGTAATTACAGGGAATAAGGTCATTTCAATATTTTATTCTATATATAAGGAGTATTTTATTTTTACTATTATAGTATTCAACTAAATTTAAACAAAACATAATTTAAGTAGAAATTATTACTGTTATGATTAAGAAAAATGAATAACGTATTTATATCAAAATTATTTTATTAACTAAAATTCATTCAAAGAACATTTTTTTTATAACCTTGGGGATTATTAAAAAAAAATTGTGTTGAGCTTGAATATTTTTATAGATATGAACTAGTTATGTTAATGTATTTCAATAAATTTATGACATTTTTTATTTGTATACTTCAATTCAATAACGTATGCATTGTGATTTTGGTTTTACATTCTAATTTGTTTTATAACATAATTTTTGTACAATTTCAAAATTAAATTATAAATTTAATCGTGTTGTAAATCAGAATCTTCAATTTTCACCAACCATTCACCAATTCGCCAAGTAATATATGTAGCACAGTCGAGAGAACAAAGATAGCAAAAACGTCATATCTTTATTAATCTGCGTACAAGATATATATATGATTTACAATGCTAGCATAATAAGCTGATCTATATATTCATAATAAGAATAACCATTTACTAGAAATAGTAATAAAAAAATCGCCAAAATTAATTGCATGTCATTTTCGGATTTTTTTTTTAATTTTTTTCCAATAAAATCAAGCAACATCAAATTTTCCCTTAAATGGTGGGTTTATTCAATTCAAGTTTGTTCATTCCATTTTATCTTACCATACATATAATCATATTCCTAACAAATATTAAATTTGCTTATATATATTTTAAAATAATTATATCAATAATAATATTAATATAAATATTTGTCAGTATATAAAAAATAATATTGTTTTTATAAGTTTTATAAATAATAATGACATTATACGACACTAAGTTTTTTAATAAAATAATATTTGAGTATTATGATGAACCAAAGTATGTAAAATTATTATTTATTTATGTATTAAAAACAAATATGTATGTTAAAATATTATTTATATGAATATAAACGGGTCAGCAGGCTAATTTATTGTTAAAATAAAGTGTTGGAAAAATGTTCTAAGATGCGAAACACCAGTGTATCGCACGAGATTCTTACTAGTCTAGAGTAATAGACTTCTAACCCAATCTAACTAATAATATTGGTAATAGGTTTCTGGCCTAGTCTTACTAATATCAACACAATATATTTATAAGACTACCACTTGGACAGTACTATATGCATCATTAAAAATCTTGATAATAAGAACTCTACAGAAAAAAAAAAAATAGTCAAGGAAAAAAGAGTACATCCCCCTATATATAATTCTCGAATGTGCTAAGCCTAAGTGGTAGGCTCGCATGAATCGGGACCCTAAGTGTCAAAATTTCATGCTTTAATATTTGGCTTGGATAGATTTTAATTTAATTCCAAATCAAAAATAATTAGGTCCGGATTACCATAAATATGTTGATGTATTTTTGTTCATTTTAGATTTATTAATTGTATTTTAATATCATTTCCTATTATAACCATTGGATTATAAATGTATTCTAAAAGTTAATAACTTTTGTAATTCTTATCGGTTTTATATATATAATATATCAAATTAAACATTTTTTGATGAGTTTCGATTTGACATCCATGTTGTATATATAAAATAAATATATTAAATTTATCTTTATAATAATAATAAAATTATTTATTAAAATTAATTAAAAAATAAAATTATTTTTCAATTAAAATATTTATGTTTAATATAGTTATAGGTAATAAGTTAGAAAAATATTATAATATAACACAA